ACAATTGTATATTGATTTTTTTTCCAAATATTTATGCCAATCTGCTAAAGAATTAAATTTAGATGGCAAATCATTTTTTTAACAAGAGAACAACTCCAAAACACACTACGAAGGTGGTACAACAATTCTTTAAAAAAATAAATTTAACATCTTTAAATAGCTGCCACAAAGCCCGGACCTTAACCCCATTGAAAATTTATGAGCAATTTTAAAATCATAAATTTAATAAATTTTTGAGCAATTTTAAAATACCTCCTTCAAAATGAACAAATAAAAAAGAATTTTATGAGGTTCTTAATGAATCTTAGAATTCAATTTGTGCTGACATCATGTCAAAGCTTGTAAAAAGTATGCTGAGACATTTAGAAGCAGTTGTAAAAGCAAAAGGTGGTGCAACAAAATACTAAAATGAAAATCAGACATGGTATTCTTGCATTTGTAATAATAGTTTTATACAAAATATTACACATGTTCTATGATAAGATTGTTGTGACTTCGGTCATCCATATCTTTTTTGAGTTATATAAATCGTTTTTTTTTAATCTTATGAAAATGTTTCTTTGTATTTTTTTATTTTTTAATTGTATGAACAGCAAAATATATGTTGAAAAAAATTTTTTATCTAACATTCTTAATTTATCTGATTATCACAATGTTTATTATTTTGAACTTTTTTTATTTTTTTAATATCATATTTTTCTTTAGGATAATTTTTTTGCAATGTTGACAGATTAAAAATTACATTACAAGTACACATTATACTTCATACATGTAGTAAACTACAAAGTTTCAGCCAAGTATGATATGGTCCATGAAAAACTAAAAATTTGTTCTTTTTGACATGGAATGACTAATTTGTATTCAATACATTAACATTCCCTTATTTATCAGGGATTGCAATAAATAAATCAGTAAAATAGATTGATCATTTTCTGTAAATTTAGTATTATATACTTAATTTAGTAAATTTCCAACTACTTTTAAACCCTGAAACTCTGTGAAAGAAAAATAACAATTAATGCAAACAAGTTAGGTGCAATTTTTCCAGAGGTTTTAAGAATAACTTAGTTTTGTATTTAAGTTTTATACACTATTGTACTTATATCTTTTTGATAGATATTTTTTATGTGCTGCTTTTTAAATTAATATTAAGTGCTGAATTTAACATTGACAATTTATTTGGTCAAACTAGGTTCAGCTGTCAAACTAGAGTACATGTCAGCTGATTAATCTATTATCCTTTTTGTGAAAAAATAAATAAAAGCATTTGATATTTGGTTAAATGTCAATTCAATTAAAACAAATAGAGCATTGATAATGAAGTGGAAGAGTTATTATTTTATATGGCATTTTCCATTTTTAACTTACACGTGCAACAACTTTATCAAATATTATCCTATTTTAAACTGCTTACTTAATTTTTAGCAATTATGTATAAAGTGTGTACACAAAGCTAATGTGAAAATAGAAAAACAACACAAAAAAAAGTACTCTTCAATTTTTATTTCAAACCAAGTAATAACTTTTATACAATAATATAAGAAGATCAAACATAAAAAAAAAATTAAACTATTTTTGTGGGAATAAAATCAAATAAAATTTCGAACTTTTGCTTTGGTAGTACTCATAAGCTTGTACACAGAATAAGAATCAAAATTATTTGACGCTTTTTTAAATGATATTTTATTATCGTTAATGTTTGTGCAAAGTTTTTTTTTTTATATAATAGCCCAGTACTTTTCAATAACTCTCAATACTGGGCAGTTTTGAGTTTTAGGCACAAATTTCACATTTTTTTAATACCATTCCATAGCTAGTTTACAATAATAACTTGAAGCTAAATCAGGTGAGAACACAGGTCTGCTATTGTGTGATTTAATGAGAGGTAAAACAATTATATGTGAAAAATTTAAACATATATTTGACCAGGAAGTGTGGACTGAGAAATATAAGGCGCCAATTTTTTGCCACAACTGCAAATAGCTTGCAAAATCAAGGCTTTCTTAGCGAACTTGTCTTGTTTTGTGTATTTAAAAATTTTATCTGCTTTTCCTCTATACTTGGCAGGAATTTGCTGATGATTATACTTGATATAAGTTTTATTGTCTTGAATAATACAGAAGTATTTAGAAATAAAATTGTCATACAATTTTCTGCAGCAGGTTCTTGCACTTTTTTGTTGAGTTGCAGATCGGTTGGGCATTTTTTTGTGCATTGAAAGAATGAAAAAGTTTATTTTGAACTTTTACAACAAAACAATGAGAAAGTTTTTGCGCGTTCTTAGCTAATCTTAAAACTGTTAGCCGGTTTTCTAACTAGTTTTATTACTTTAAAATCCTCCTTTCTTCCACCACCAAATTTGCATTTGATCGATTTTGTTTGAGAAAAAGATTGAACTACACAACTAATGGTGTATGGATGTATTTGCAACGCTTTTGCTACCAAATTGTAGCAACTATTGGTGTATGGATGTATTTGCAACGCTTTTGCTACCAAATTGTAGCAACTATTGGGATTTTCCATTTATTTGTGCATAATTTTTTCTCCTATGTCTACTTCTTTGGTCATTTTTAAAACTTATTTTAAGTTAAATCAAAAATCTAACACATTTTTTTTTTGAAACTACAACACGTTGTAAACAATATACTAAACAAATAAAAAGATTTTAATATAACCACTAAAAAAAATGATGAACTTATTCTTTCACATTTATTTTGTGTACACGCTTGTACAAAATAAGCTGAAAAGTTTTGAGTCTGACAAAGAATGGCAAACTTAGGACCAAAAACTAATTAGGAACATTTAACATAGGTTATGCAGAAAAACAAGTAAAAAGATGTTTCAACCTTGAGGTCGGATTTCTGCAAATAGGTATTGTATATTGTATTAAAAAGTATCAGAGTTGTTGATGGAGGAATATCTATTTAATTGATGGAGAATTTTCAGTTTATCATAGCTAGCTCATTTTATCTTCAGGACAATAAAATGAATTAAAAAGAAATTGCTTTTTTATGTTATTACATGATGTAACTGTCCTTCAGTTACTAACTGTACGTTAGTTAAAAAAATGAATGTCGTTACAAAAAAATAATTTTAAAAACTTGTTCCAAAATTTGTATAAATGGAATGTATAAAAAATTTGCTTTTTCCAAAGATGAAGCGATTTTAAAATATCCATTCAGAGTAAAGTTAACTTTTGTTTTTTGGCAATTAAGCAAAAACTGTTTTTGATAATAAATAAACAAAAGTAAAAAATTTCAGTCCTAATAACTATCGCGCAAATTTAATTTTTGAATGAATGAAGTTTTGAACTTTTATTTTTGAATGAATGAAGTTTTGAACTTTTATTTTTGAATGAATGAAGTTTTGAACTTTAGCTTGCTATTTTAGTTTACGTTATGGAAAACAAAAAAACGAAATGTAAACTTTTTAATAAGTTAAAAATAACGATTACAATAATTTAATAAAAATTTTATTAAGATCTGTTTAAAATAGTAAATGTAATTTTTTTACTAAGTGTAATTTTTTAATTATACTTAATAATTAAAAAAAAAAAAATCTAATTATATGTTTTTTAAAATATATGTTTTTAATCAAAACATTTTTAAAATTATGTTTACCGCAATTACCCCTTCTTTAATTATCTTTATTTTAAAATGCGCCTTAAAGTCACTTTAAAAATTATTAACTTTTAGTAAAAGTTTGAAAAGATTTGCTAACATTTAAATCAAAATTTAAAAATTAAAATAATAGTAAATACATTTATTAAATGTTTATGTTTTTTATTCAAATAGTTTATTAAATAAGTTTATTAAATGCTTATCAAATTTTTTAAATTAAATTTTTAATTGGAATACAAGACGTAAAACAATTTTGTCAATTTTACAAATATTATGCGATTTAATATATGTAAATATATTATGTAAAAATTGATTAAAAATTGTTTAAAATATTTAAACATTTAATTTCTAATTATTTAAAACATTAACAACTACAACAATTAAATTTACTAAAATATAGTTAATAAATGTTTAAAATACTTTAAACAATTTTCAATAATTATTTATGAATAGAATGATATTTGCAACAAAAGTGTTTATTTAAGTCTTAACTACTTTCTTCTCGTACCTAAAGTAACATCATCCACCGGTTATTCATCGGTAATTCATGTATTCAAAAAAATGCCTTTAAATAAACTCCTTATCTTAGGAAAAAACTAAATAAGATAAACATAAATGATTAAAATAATGATTGAAAAAATGATGATTAAAAATCATTGTCACAGCACCGGTTTAACTAGGGAATAAGGAGGAGGAGGAGGGGGAACTCAAAAATATCACCTCAAGCCCCCCCCCCTCCCAAACCATGTTGCCAAAAAAAAAAAAAGCGGCATCCCCAAATAAACTCTGGCTTCTTCACTGTGTGTGTGTGTGTGCGCGCACGTGTATACATACATACATACATACGTATATATATATATATATATATATATATATATATATATATATATATATATATATATATATATATATATATATATATATATATATATATATATATATATATATATATATATATTAATTTGATACAATCTGATATAAATCAGTTACATTTCACACACAAAAAAAAAGAAGTAACACAAATATTACAAACTGCTGCTAAAATTTGAAGCAACCACTAGATTATTAAAAAAATCCAACAATAAAAAAGAAGTTTTGAATGAGAATTTTGTATTTCTCCATTTTTTGCAATTTAAATCTAAAAAAGGTTTGAATAAATAAAAAAAGGAGAAATACAAAACTCACATTTAAAACCTAAAGAGTTTTCCTAAAATTAAAACAAATTTTTTTTTTAAACATAGTTTAAATCTAGTTACCAATTATTGAAGCTGTAAAAACTTATATGATCTTTTGAAGAATATTTTTTTTCAGAGAAGAACTAATATTTTGCAATACAAACAATTCCTTATTTTTTTAAAACCACTATAGTAAACAACTTACCTCGTGGATTCCTTTCTTTTCTTGAGCTAATAAAAAATGTTTCAACATATTTCTTGCTCCCTCTGCAACCCTTGTTTCAATGTCTATATGATGTCTAATATCATCAACTCGCTGCTCCAAGTCCTTTCCATGTATTCGAACATTTGAATCAGATGAATCTAAATTAACAGTCTCTTTTTTTTTTGTATCAAGGTATTGTTTTTCTCTTAAAATATTCATTTTAATAGCATCTATTTTAATTTTTGAGTCTTCGAGCATTTGCTCTGCATCTGCTAAAAGTTTTTTGCTCTTTTCACCAGTAATCAACATTCCTAACATATTCTCGGCACCTTCTTTTACTTTAATTTCAATATCAAGCTGTTTTTCCAAAGAAGCCATTCTGCTATCCGTAGTAAATTCATCTTTATATTCAATTTGATAATCAATAGTTGGATCATCTATAAAAATAT